TCTGTATCTGACCTCTCAGTTCTCATATCAAAGGAAACCTGCAAAACCCCTTGAATAGATGAGCCTGGGAGCTTAAATTCATAACTTAGCTAGACACTAAAAATCATGGACACAATAAAAACACTGGGTTTATGGCTCATTACAACAATTTGTAACCCACTAACCCTCCTCTGTCCTATGACTGCAGAGGTGTTAACTGCACACTTCACTTTGAATAGTCTCTTTGCAACATGTTAACTCCTGATCTGTTCCACCTTGTCTTTAGCTGTGACACTGAAGGCAAGTCTACACTTTAAAGGCTGCATTGGTGTAGCTGCACCACTGTAGCACTTTAGTGAAGACACTCTAAGCCAGTGGTTTTCAAACATTTTTTCTGGCAATCCAATTGAAGAAAATTGTTGATGCCCACAACCGAACAGAGCTGGGGGTAAGGGATTGGAGGGGCTCAGGGCAGGAGCAGAGGATTGGGGCGCAGGCTTACCTCAGGTGGCTCCCGGTCAGCGGCACAACAGGGGTGCTAAGGCAGGCTTCCTGCCTGTCCTGGCATCGCAGACCATGCTGCACCCTGGAAGTGGCCAACAGCAGGTCCGGCTGCTGGACAGAGGTGCTGCTCTTGCCCGCAGGCATTGCCCCCCCCAGCTCCGGTGCTCGGGGCGGGGGCAGTGCACGGAGCCCCATGGCCCCCCTGTCAAGGAGCTGGACCTGCTGCCGGCTGCTTCCAGGGTGCAGCATGGTGTCAGAGCAGGTAGGGACTAGCCTGCCTTACCCGGGCAGCACTGCTGACGTGGCAGTGGTGCTGACCAGAGCCACCGCAACCCAGTGTCTTACATTCCACGAATCAGTACTGGGTCGTTTCTCACAGTATGAAAACCACTGCTCTAAACTAACAGGAGAGAGCTCTCCTGTCAGTTTAGTTAATCCACCTCCACACCAACATAGTGCTGTCTACATGCGGGGTTAAGTTGGTATAACTATGTTGCTCAGGGGTATGAAAATGTGGATTTTCACATCCCTGAGCAACATAGTTATACAGATATAGGTCTGTAATGTAGACCAGACCTGCGTACCTTTGCCAGACCTGAAGAAGAGCTCTGTATAAGAGAAAAAGCTTGTCTCTTTCACCAACAGAAGCTGGTCCAATAAACAATATTACCTCATCCATCTTGTCCCTCTAATATGCTGGGACCAACATGGCGACAGCAACACTGCAAATGGTAACTAATTGACATATATGGAAATTATTGTGATGTAAATGGGTATTAAACCAATCAGCAGTGGGAACCCTCAAGAGAAGTGGGGTTAAAAATACAGATAAGGAAAAGACGTGAAAACCATTAGAAATACGTGCAAGCTAAAGTGGGTGTTAGCATAACACAATAGGCATGAGTGCTCAGAGATGCTATGATAAACACATACTGACTCTTGGGTATCTCCACAAAGGATGGTGTGAGGCAGGGATCGGCAACCTTTGGCATGCGGCTCGCCAGGGTAAGCACCCCGGCGGGGCGGGGCGGGTTGGTTTACTGCCGCCTCTGCCGGGTTGCCGTGTGC